AATAAGTTTCAATTGACGACTTCTTTAATGAAAATAGAAAAAATAAGTTCACTATTGATTTTGTCCTCTTGTACCCTTCTAATACACCTCCTTTTTACCCACCGCAAGTCACTTATCCCCACCATCTAATTATATCCTTACCTCCACTCCCATTGTATATTTTCTAGAGTACATACACATAATTTTAGATTAATATTTAATTTTCACGAACAAATCAGAAACTTATTTATTTGTTAAAAAATACATTTTCATACGTGCCAAACACAACTAATAAGTATGTACACTTGGAAAAGTATTTCAAGTGGAAAAACACGAGACCCGCATAGTTAATAACTTAACAAATTAAAAGGCAAATCAATAAGATTCGTTATATATTTTTAATTTTAATATCTTTTATTAATTTCTTTCTTTTGGTAATTTCAGAATTTAATTTGTCGTCCCTCCAGAAGCCAATATGAAAGCACTACATACCTTCAGTGTGAGTGCTCAATTATCAAAAAGTTGGTACAAACATTAAAAGAAAACAAGAAGAAGAAAAAGAGGAGAAATGGTCTTGTAAGTACATCGATGTGTATTAAAAAGGAAAACGTGAATCGAGGTAAATCCTCTTATTTGTTTGTATATACACGTCTATCATTTAATGTCATGGAATACGGACATAAGCCGTGAAAGTTGGAGAATCTTAGTAACTTAGTTGGTTGACTATCTAAACTTCATTTTGTTGGTGAAGGTTCAATTCTCCACCTTATAATAATTCTTCCCCTTCCCCTACGCCCATTTTCGAAAAGAAAAAAAACTTGTGAAAGTCGATGTTTTATTTTTATTTTTATCAGTTATTCATATTGGAGCCCTCCCCGAGGAAGTTTTATATTGAGGTTAAAGTGGTCGCTAACAAAGGTGATTTCATACTCTTGAAAACTCGAACATGAAACCTCTGATTACGGATAAAAAACTACTACTAGGCATTGATACGACGATAATCGAAATTAGGGATGCATAAACGCCGTGATCGTCACAAAACCGGCGTCATCCGGCGATCCCGGAGCATTGTCTTTTGGACTCTTACTGGTGACGTGTCCATGCTTTAAAATGTGCAAAACTAAGTTCAAGGAAAATAAATAAATTAATCTCTCTTATTTTTTTTCTAGTAATAATTATTTATTTTTTTCTGTAGAAGCCGTTAATTGCGGTTGGCACGAGTGGAACAAAAAACATTATAAAAATGAAAACAAACTGTATTGGAGCCCTTTATTTGACCTGAGGGGTCTCATCTAATTTCATTTATTAGGAACATGCAATGTTATCACAATGAGGAAAACATGGCCCAGTGCGTTCGAAGTTGAAATAATCGAACTTTAGTATGAATATTGAATATCAAGTGAAATGAACATGCAATGTTATGACAATGAGGAAAATATGAAGCTTATGCACTATGAATTCAAAATAGTCAGACTTCAATATAGATATTGAACATCAGGTGAAATGAACATGCAATGTTATGACTTGTGACAATGAGGAAATATGGGGCCTATGCAACGTAAATCTGAAATAGTCGGACTTCAATATTGATACTGAACATCGGTGAAATGAATATGCAATGTTACGACAATGAGGAAAATATGGGGCCTATGCGATGTGAACTTGGAATAGTCAGACTTCAATATGGATATTGGACATCAAGTGAAATTAACATGCAATGTCTTATATTGGAGCCCTCCCCGAGGAAGTTTTATATTGAGGTTAAAGTGGTCGCTAACAAAGGTGATTTCATACTCTTGAAAACTCGAACATGAAACCTCTGATTACGGATAAAAAACTACTACTAGGCATTGATACGACGATAATCGAAATTAGGGATGCATAAACGCCGTGATCGTCACAAAACCGGCGTCATCCGGCGATCCCGGAGCATTGTCTTTTGGACTCTTACTGGTGACGTGTCCATGCTTTAAAATGTGCAAAACTAAGTTCAAGGAAAATAAATAAATTAATCTCTCTTATTTTTTTTCTAGTAATAATTATTTATTTTTTTCTGTAGAAGCCGTTAATTGCGGTTGGCACGAGTGGAACAAAAAACATTATAAAAATGAAAACAAACTGTATTGGAGCCCTTTATTTGACCTGAGGGGTCTCATCTAATTTCATTTATTAGGAACATGCAATGTTATCACAATGAGGAAAACATGGCCCAGTGCGTTCGAAGTTGAAATAATCGAACTTTAGTATGAATATTGAATATCAAGTGAAATGAACATGCAATGTTATGACAATGAGGAAAATATGAAGCTTATGCACTATGAATTCAAAATAGTCAGACTTCAATATAGATATTGAACATCAGGTGAAATGAACATGCAATGTTATGACAATGAGGAAAATATAGGGCCTATGTGACATGAATTTGAAATAGTCGAACTTCAATATGGATAACTGAACATCGGGTGAAATGAACATGCAATGTTACGACAATGAGGAAAATATGGGGCCTATGCGATGTGAACTTGGAATAGTCAGACTTCAATATGGATATTGGACATCAAGTGAAATTAACATGCAATGTTACGACAATGAGAAAATATGAGGCCTACGCGGCGTGAATCTGAAATAGTCGAACTTCAATATAGATTTTGGACATCGGGTAAATGAACATGCAATGTTACAATAATGAGGAAAATATGGGGTCTACGCGGTATGAATCTGAAATAGTCAGACTTCAATATGAATATTGGACATCGGGTGAAATGAACATGCAATGTTACGACAATGAGGAAAATATGGAATTTACGCGGTGTGAATCCGAAATAGTAAAACTTCAATATGAATGTTGATCATTGGGTGAATTTTTTTTTTAAAATGGGAAAATATGAATGATTTAATATCCAAAACTCCTTAATTAGTGCTCTGTCGGTGTTAGATTTTTACAAATAAGAGTGCCAGAAGAGCCTTAAATGGAGGGGAGGGGAAGTGTTGTTTGTCGGGATGTTGATTTTCTGAATCATTAATCTTGTAATTATGCTTAAGCTTATTTGTCTCTTATTAATCACCCACATGTTATGTTACTTCTCTTTTCTTCTTAATTATTATTATTCCTCCGTCTCAAAATTAGTATCATTATAATTGATAAATTATTGTCACTACAAAATTATTGTTGTAGTGAGTATCTTTTGCGTGTTTGTTTGTGTGTGGATATTATTTTTTGGACAGTAATGAAATCACATTTTTTTACTCAGAGGGTTTAAAAAATAAAAAAATATAAATGTATGAATAAGTCAATAAAAACTATATCAAGGGAGTCCTTAATGTAGTCAGAGTGTTTTAAGGCGGATTTAGATTTTTCACACAAAGAGTTTGGAATAATAAAAATATAAAATATGTGTGAATAAGTAAATAAAACACAATTTCCATAGAGTCCCTAATGTAGTCGGTGAGTTTCAAGGCGGATTCAAGTTTCCCACTTAAAAAGTTCAGAAAATAAAAATATAAATATCTGAATAACTAACAAAACACAATTTCAAAGAAATCTCTAATATAATCAGTGAGTTTCAAACCATGAACGTACGAGTGCATTTAAAAGGTGGTATATTCTTGTTCAAATAAATCCATAAATATATTCTATATATACTATCTATAATTTAAATCGAAAGATATCACAAGAACCCTCTCCCGTCCCCCTAGATCCACCCTACTTTTGGGGTTAATAAGGTCAAAATAAACTATTTTGAATAACCAAAAATCAACTCAAAAGTAAAATCTAGGTAAATTGACAAGTGTACAATAACTATTATTTTACTGTTAGAAAGTAGCCAGCCAATTAAATTATGTCCACGTACATATTACATTGATGCTTTAGCCTTTTTTAAAGTTTTGGCCGTATTTGAAATTTAACCTCATCTTTGCCACATGGCCTCGTTGGCCAAAACGTTAATAAATTGAATAGTGACACAACAGACACTTTTCTGCAAACTCTTTTTGACTGGATTCTCCTACAGACACTTTTTCCTACATTTTACTTTGTACACATTATATGTCTACACCTAAGTAGTAATTATAACATACTTTAACTAATCCTCCCCGGTTTGTATTTTACTTGTTCAATATTGACTTGACATACTTTTAAGAAACAATAATTGAATAATAATTTTTTTAAATCACTATTTGAATATAACAAATTCAATATTTTGGAAAATATATATTGCGAATTGACGATAATAACAAGAGTAAATTAGAAACTGAGTGATGAGTTATCTCCTAATTTATTGTACTGAACAAGTTAAAATGAACTGAAAATTTTTAGTAGTTCAATCACTTGGCTATCTAAACTTTCACATAGTTAATGAGAGTTCGATTCCTCATATTCTAATTCCTTCTCCATTTCTTCTTCTGCCTTCGGGCCCCTACCCTCATTTTAAAAATTTAAAAGCACAAGTAAAAATGGAGTTAGACAAATAAAAGTGGTATGAAGGGTTCTATTAGATATCTATTTTTATTTGTCCACTTTAAAAAATTATAATATAATTTATCATTTTATTCTGATTTTATCTTGATTAGTAAGCACTATTCATATATGTTCAATAATTAAATGACTTATAATAATTGATATAGTAAAATCGTCATTTTATTTACTATTTTGGCAGATTACAGAGCTAGTAATTCACATGTGGATAGATCGAATTCAATAGATTTTGTTCAAATAATATATTTTTATATTAGTTAATTCATTATAAATATATCAAATTTTAAAAATTCAGTTATAATCATTTAAAAGTGTCACATATAAATAAGTAAACATGAACGGAAAAAATAAAATAATTATCTCTCCTTAGTAAGGAAATAAAAATTTCAGCGCCGAACCTTGTTCAACAAAAGCGACAAACAAAAGCACATGCCACTGTCTCTAACTCCCAATTTATTTATTTTAAAGTATCAATAACATTATTTTTGTTTAATTTCATTGATTTTTTAAAAATAACCCAAATTTGCATTATTTGTTCCACACTGTCCATTTTCTAATTTTTTTGGCACTTTCTCCTCTTCCCTCCACCATATATACTAGTTCAATTGCTTCCTTCTCCCCAATCCTCACTCTTTCTTCTTTATTTTACCTACATTGGCCATTTTTGCAAAACATTTATAGAAATAATTACTATAAATACATGATGAAAGGTTTTTTGATCCTCTACTATATGAGTACTCTGTTTTTGCTATTTCCCAATTTAGCATTTGGTAGCCATAATTATGGTGAAGCACTAAGTAAGAGCTTTTTATTTTATGAGGCTCAGAGATCTGGTTATCTTCCTCATGATCAGAGAGTTCAATGGAGGGGTAATTCTGGTCTTAACGACGGAAAAGCTAGTGGCGTAAGTTATTCTTTCTGTAATAGTCATTCGTTATAACAATATTTCAGTATTTGTAATGTTTCTAATCAGGAGCGCATTTATAGTGCTTGTGAACTCATGGTTTTTATGCGTCTGTGATGTAGTTTGATTTGATATGAAGTTTAGAAAAGAAAGACAGATTTTTGAAACTTGTGCTTTGAAATAAGTTTATAAATGTTTGTGGGACTATAAATTATATATATTGAGATAACAATAACATATCGAGTGAAATCTCAGTACGTGGGGTCTGAGAAAGGTAGAGTGTATGCAAACCTTACTACTCCCTCTATTCCATATTAACTGAATTTTTGAGATTTTTTTCATTGTTCAAAATAATTGACTTGTTCAAAGTTTAAGATGGATGTTTGAATTTTTTTTTCCATTTTTTTTCCTTTCATTTTATAAAGTTTGAGATTTTCTAGGAGATAAATTGCACTACTTGTAAAGTTATATTTATGATATCACAAAGGACAATTGTGAAAAAGATGATTTAAATTATGTCCTTAAATATTTTTTTTAATAAGTGTGTATTGTCTAACAAATTCAGTTAATATAGAATAGAGAAGTACTATCTTGTGGAGGAATCTTATAAATCGAGACAGGAGTATTTATTAGAAGTGATCTAATATTATCTGTTGATACTTGTGTTACACAAAGCTAAATAATATAATTGGTTGAATGTTAATTTATTTACCTAAAGGATTAGTGATCAATTTGAACTTACATTTTTTTCTTCATTTATTTTAGTGGTGCGCTTATGTTATTAAAAATTCTCGATCTGTCTCTGATGTGTTGCAGGTAGATCTGGTTGGAGGGTACTATGATGCAGGGGATAATGTGAAATTTGGGCTACCAATGGCATTCACAGTTACCATGATGTCATGGAGCATAATTGAGTATGGGAAGCAAATGAGTGAAAGTGGAGAGCTAAGTAATGCTATAGATGCTATTAAGTGGGGTGCTGATTATCTACTTAAAGCTCACCCTGAACCACATGTCCTATATGGAGAGGTAATTAATTCCGATATATATATAGTCAGTATAAATATTTTGATGGCGTTCACACCATCAAGTTATATTTACCTGTTATAATATGTTAAATAATGTATAGGTTGGAGATGGTACCACAGACCATTACTGTTGGCAAAGACCAGAGGACATGACCACTTCAAGAGCTGCTTACAGGATCGATCCAAGTCGCCCTGGATCTGATCTCGCGGGGGAGACAGCAGCCGCTATGGCTGCTGCCTCCATAGT